CCCCCCATCAGAATCATCTTTACATACTGTTACATTTACTCACTCTATCACCTCTTTCTTGGACATATCCAAGTAGCGATTGCTGATCCACTGAATCTGAAACCAGTCTCTGTAGCCGTTGTTTCCACAACACTGGAACTCGATCTGCAGGATGTCCAGCGTGCGCTTCAGGAAGCAGCGCCCCGGCGTGTCTGTGTCCTTATAAAACCTCATGGCCTGTGTCAGGCCCAGGTTCAGAGCCTCCTCCAGCTCCCAGTGCATGCTGTAGCACATCAGAGCCCCCACCAGCACGCAGAAGGTGAAGAAGAAGGTGCACGCGGTGTAGGGCAGCAGGACCACCTTCCAGCGCAGGAACTTGGCGGTGTCCACGCAGTCGTAGCAGATCTTCCCACCCAGGAAGTTGATGGCGCAGGCGATGAGACCCACAGCTATCAGCGTGTTGGGAACGTACTGGACATCCCGCTCAGACATCAGCTCCCCTCGCTTGTTGAGCTCCACCTTGAGGAAGGTCCCAAGGCTGAACAGGATGGCCCCTGTGACCACAGAGATCCAGTTGAGAATCCAGAGCACCTGGGCCAGCTTGTCCCTCTTGGTTTTGGTGAACTTCACTTTTAAAACGGCCATGATCCGTCTCCTCTTTAGTTGTTCCTCTAAACCCAAAGAGGGATTAAAGGTGGGAGACAGGTTGAGCTCTGAAAAGGAACAGTTTATCCTCCAGGGGGTGTGGAGGACCAAGGAGGGGAGGTCTGGTTGCCTGAAGGTCCTCTCGTAAGCTGCTTAGCCTCACAACAATGACTGATATAGTCTGGACCGTGCATTGTGCTTGTACTGTTAGAGTTCAAAAGAAAACAAGTTCTCTATTTAATTTGAATATAAAGCATTGCTGAAACAAAATGTGCTAACATTTCAAATTAAAAGTATGTAATTCTGTTTAAAAAGCTGAATCAGCTTCCTTTTAAATCCGGAGATTAGGGCTTCACAACATATCACTTTCTCCCAAATGATAATCCAAGAACATTATTGTACTCACCTCTGTGCTCTCAGCTTCCACCTGGAACAYCTGACACCCCTCGTTTTGTTGACATGTTCACCTTCAGTCCTGAGAGACACAAGTGGTCGAAGAGTCACAGACAGAGTGAGATGAGTAACCAAGACCTGCTGACCCTCCCTGGTAATCCCCTTTCATCATTAATCAGCTCTGGGCCCCACTGAGGATTTGGCCCCACCTTCTGCCACCAATGCAAATCTGATTGTCAGAGCACTGAGAAAGTAATGACGATTGTTGTGTAAGTTGTGTAGAGTTTTTTATATACGGTATTCAAAATCATTGTGGTTTCCGTTTTTACACAGGTTTACTGCATTCTGATCTAATTTAACAACAGATCTAGCTGCTGGACAATGGTCCACCATTTAGGAGACCTCATTGGGATTTGAAGTTTTTGTGTTTTTGATGCAGAAGCAGCCAAAGATGGAGGGATCAACTTCTGCACCATTTCCGTTTAAAACATCCTCATGTGTACAAGACTCTGCAAGCCTGCAGAGAAGTTCTTTTCGAAATCCAAAGCAAGGAAGCTGAGGAAGAAAGAAAACTCTCTCCAGCTGATTCCCTCCCACATCACCATGAGGTGACGCTGACACCAGATGGTGCCACAGACCTGACATGAGCAGCTCAGATAAATAAACTTTCTGTAGCGAACACATCTTACACATCATCAGTGACAGACTGCTCAGAAAGAAAAAGAAGGATTTTATTTTACTTTGTAGAGAAGAATACGGTGTCCTAATGTGCCCTCAGAAAAATTCTCATTCAAGAAAAAAAGTAATYAAACTGATTTCAAAATGGCACCAAATGAAGTGATTATTATTGGATGACATCTGTTCATTCAGTCTGTTTCATGTTCATAAAAGAAGTGAACACCCCCAACAGAAAGAACCACCCCAAGACTTCTCCTGTTCCTCGTCTAACCAGGTGCTTGCTCAGGGCCTTAACCATTTGGGTGCCCAAGGTGGCGCCCCTTGTAAATCTCACTGCCCGTTTACAAACAGTCCCATACCAAATGAAATAGTTTTGTCTTTGATGTTATTTTTTATCTCTAGAAACCAGGTTGTCCAGTTAAAATAGTTAACAATATAACTGATTTGAAACAGAGTGCCAGAGGTCTGCCTCGTACCTGCTAGCATCTGCTGACAGCAAAGAGCAACACCTGTTCATGTCAACAAGCAGCTGTGGAGTGAAGCAGTTCTAGGATGGTCCAGAAAATCTTTGTACAACATCGGCTCAAAAGCATTTTCAAGCCATGTGTACAACATTTTGCTAAATTCTTAACAACATGAAATCTGTATTTATGAAGGTAGAACACTGAAAACCAGACTTTATCTGAGATCGTTAACTTCCATTATCTTTATTTTGTGTCCTTTATTCACACTGAGCACCAGTTAGTCATGACTGAACAAAACATCCTCTGCACCATATAACACCTCATGTAGTGACAAAGCAGGCTGAGAAACCCACAGAACAAGTTACCTTCATAAACCGGAATAACCAGTGATAACAGACTAAATCAACTATACCCTGATAAAAAGTTTTAAAAAAATCATCCTCCATTTTTGACGCCCCCTATGGACGGCGCCCTTAGCATTTGCTTATACTGCCTATGTCATGGGCCAACCCTGAGCTTGATAACCAAATATAACCAGAGTCTTGTTCCAGAGGAGTYACTGAGTTTACCAAGGATGTGAGAGAACGACAGCATCTTAGGAGCTCTCCATTGAACCCTGACTCTAAATCATTTTCTTCTCCTCTGGTTGGGAATAATATGCACATCTGAAGCAGTTATTTTGTCAACAAAATTTTTTTTGTTTATTATTAAGAGAGAGAGAGAGAGAGAGAGAGAGAGAGAGAGAGAGAGAGAGAGAGAGAG